AAAATCAGCAATCAAATAAAGCTATCTTAACTTTTTTGGTGAAGAATGCACTCAATATTTGACAATTTCTTTTAATTTCAGAAAATTATGAGTTTATCAAACTAACTACTGCAGGAGAAAAACAGAATGTCGGAGTAATAACGCTAAACAGACCAAAAGCCTTGAATGCACTTTGCAATGATCTTATGAAGGAAGTATCAAATGCGTTGGACTCTCTTGAAGCAAACACAGGAATAGGTGCCGTTATTATAACAGGGAGTGAAAAAGCATTTGCAGCTGGCGCTGATATTAAGGAAATGCAAAATAACACGTTTTCCCATTGTATTACGGGAAACTTTTTAGAACATTGGAGTCGAGTCAGTAAAAATCTGAAGCCCGTTATCGCTGCTGTAAATGGATATGCTGTAAGTAAAAAAGTGTTTTTGATCATTTAATTCATATCATTTGATCAAAACTGCTACTCAATCAGACGTATGTAGAATGACTAGTTTTCTCGCACAAGGTTTACAAACTAATAGAAAATTTGTTCACGAAAGTAAAGTATGGTAGGATAGGATATGTAAGAAAGGTGGGAAAGCTTATTCGTTAAAGACTAGAGTTAATCAAAAACTTTTATTTAGAATTTGTTGCTTATAAAAGTTTACCCATAGATCGGCGTGAAATTAAACCGGATTGAAAATGTCACACTTTCAATAACAATTTCCCTTGAAATATGCATCTTTCGCATCTTGCGAGTGTAAATGATATTTTTCCTCCACTTATAAACATTTACTTACAACGGAATGCTTTCACATTTTACATTAACAATTCGCCTTTGTAAAAGAGAGGTGTATACACACTGGATAAAAATGAAACAAAATCGCCTGTAGTGAAGTTGTCATGTTTTGTTAGGTCTGGACGCGACATAAAACCCGCTTAGTCGGTGCAGTCGGACGGTTTTAGTCGCCCGTTTCTTCTGTGATTAAAATCTACACAAGTAATTACGTTTAAGCTCATTTACGTTTAAATGTACATTTAAATAATACAGAATACTTACAGCAAAATGAATATTAAAGCTTCACATGCTGCAAGTTTGAAATCATTAGGTACATTTTATATGAAGTGTTTATAGAAACTGTCCAGTTCGTCCATTTTTCTTTCTTAATTTATTTTAAACGACATATTAGTAAATCTAAGAGATTAGCCCTACAATTTTTCTTTATTAAATTTTAGCTTGGCGGTGGATGTGAGCTAGCGATGATGTGCGATATAATCTACGCTGGAGAAAACGCGAAATTCGGTCAACCGGAAATTCTCATCGGTACCATCCCTGGAGCAGGCGGTACCCAAAGGTTACCCAGATATGTTGGAAAATCCAAGGCGATGGAAATTGTTCTAACAGGTGCGCAGATCACAGCACAAGAAGCTGAAAAAATGGGCTTGGTAGCTAAGGTGCATCCGGTAGATAAGCTTCTAGAAGAATCTATCAAATTAGGTGAAAAAATTGCTAGCAATTCACAACTGATCACCAGACTGTGCAAAGAATCCGTCAATACTGCTTATGAGACTACATTAGCCGAAGGACTACACCTTGAAAAACGGTTGTTCCATTCGACTTTTGCTACTAAAGATAGAAAGGAAGGCATGACTGCTTTTGTGGAGAAAAGAGCACCCAAGTTTACAAACGAATAACTTTTGGGAAAAATTAATATTTACTATGAACAAATGAGTAAGGAATTTAATGAATAAATAAAATGTTCTGCTGAGTTTTATTATTTTTCTTTTAACTTGAAAATATGTGCATTCCATGTCCTTTACGGTCAAAGGCGGTGGCAACTATGCATTTCCCGGGAGCAATTGATAAGCATAACTTTGAAGCAATTGCACGATTTATACCTACTTTTATCTCGATTTTACTTATTACAAATACTCCATTAATGAAACAGCATTGGGTTTCAGGATATTTATTGTTTTTACATGTGGGATCGAATTTCTATGGCTAAAATCACAATTTTCACCTTTTTCTTTGAGCACCGCTTTTCAACATTTGCAATATTTTTTGTAACATTTTAGTCGGTGCTTCTTTTGGATCCGACAGGTTGCATTTCAGCTTTAATTGGTCATACCGTGCTCTCACCGCGCTGGTCAAACTGTGTAAATACCTAAAATTTAAAATAAAAGTAGAATCTTAATATCGACCTAGAAAAAAACCCGCAGTTCACCACAACTCACAAATCCACCAGAAAGATGTTATTGAGAGGAATTTAATGATAATTGGTGTCACCGATTAAATTTGAAATTATTGTAGAATATGCTGGATTTAGAAGAATTGTAAAATCATAGAAATTGACTTTATATTGAAACTTTTAAATGCCGATTGGGATAAGCGAGGAGCTTTTGTATGGCAGGTAAGGACGACATTAAAAGAGTTAATTGCATTTAATATTCAGACTTCCAGAAATTCCAGAACAATAATTGATCAAACTGTTATGAAATCTGTGGTTTTGTTGTAAAATAAGGATAGATGCGGGTAAAACTCAGGCAATGGGCTTTCTTTGTGAATTACAGGTGCTTGCTTGGGAACTCAATTGAAAAACTAAATTTTGAAACCTTTTCCTAACTGACTCTTGATGAGTTATTTAATTAAATTATTAAAATCACCCTGACTCTGTATGTAGAACATTCGGTAAAGAAATTCACTTATTAGGCATAGGTTCTGCGGTGCCTTACCCTGTATAGAAATAAAGTTAGTGAAGAGTTCGTCGTTCAAGAATTCCTATTTAACTAACACAACTTGAAGAAATCGAGCGAATTAACAGCTATTTACATATCTTAGTTATTACCTGTAGGCAGTTCGATCTACAGTAGAGCTCGTTTTAATACAGTCGTTTCCTCCAAATTCACAAATCCTGTAATGGTGTAATATTGCTGCGTCCGCTGGTACGTTCAAAGTACCTAAAATGTATTTAAATTTTAAATAGATTTGGTCTTGTTACAACACTCAAAATCATCGAAGTATATGGAATAATCCACTATTGTATATACTTTCCTGACTGTGTTTCAATTCCAAATGAAATTCATTCCTGGGTTTCAGTCATTTATTTTCTCTATTTATCAATCGAAATACTTTTCGGTGTATTTTTCCACCATCTTCAGTTTTTCTAAAATAACAGATAGGTAAAAAAATTTTTATTAATTTAAAAAAACAACCACAGTTCGTCAACAGCCTCATCATATCAAACATTAAACTACATCACAATTGCAATACTTTAAAATATTCTAAAATTGATTAGGCCTAACAGGTGATTTGTCAGGACAATCAAATTTGGGAACAGATTAGAATTCTTCGTTCAGATACTTAATTATTTTTACTTACATGTGTAGCGTTGCTGCTTTAAGCCTTGGCATGCATTTGGAGTATTAATTTTGTCTTTGTCCATTATCGGACACAAAACGAATAAAATAATGCTTATATTGATTTATTTTACTTTCAGCTATTTTTCTTTGCATTCTGAGGATATTATTTTTGGTTTGCAAAATTCTTCAATATACCGGTATATTGTACAACAGAAGTTGCATAATTTTGATTTTGATAACACAAAAATACTGATTAACGAGAATAATTATAATAAGAGAAGAGTCCATGAAATGATACAGATTAAAAAACATAACAATGCTATGGATTTCAGATCGGATACTGACAATCTTAGCTCAGTATATCATACATTAATTAAATGAAATAAACATAAAATATTAACTAACACCGGGTGTATTGAAGAATTTTGCAAACCAAAAATAATATCTTCAGAATGCAAAGAAAAATAGAAAATCAATATAAACATTATTTTATTCGTTTTGTGTCCGATAAACAAAATTAATACTCCAAATGCATGCCAAGGCTTAAAGCAGCGACGCTACACATGTAAGTAAAAATAATTAAGTATCTGAACGAACGAAGAATTCTAGCCTCTTTCTGTTAGGCCTAATTAATTTTAGAATGTTTTAAAGTATTGCAATTGTGATGTAGTTTGATGTGTGATATGATGAGGCTGTTGACGAACTGTGGTTGTTTTTTTAAATTAATGGAATTTTTTTTTAACTCTGTTATTTTAGAAGAACTGATGATGGTGGAAAAATACACCGAAACGTATTTTGATTGATAAATAGAGACAATAAATGACTGAAACCCAGGAATGAATTTAATAATCCACTATGTCTGTTAGACAAGGCCTTTAGCTTTTGATCCCAGGTTAAATGTTTCGGAGATTTGAAGTTGCAAAAGAAAATAAAAACGAAAATCATATTTTTTGGATTACTTCATATTGCATCTTTGCCGTTTAAACCAACAACTCTGATATGCGGACAATGATTAGCAATTATTTCAACTTTCTCTCTACAGTTTGTTTGATACTATAAATTATCTTATCAGTGTAATCGAGTTTAACATTATTAAATTTAACATCCGTAAACTGACTGGTAAATTCATCCGAATAAAATCCACAAAATAATTCAAGCTCGTCTCAATAAAACAATTCCTAAAATCCAGTTGGAACAATTGTGCTTAATAACTCACCGTGTGCAGGTATAAATTCCCAAACAAAGTGATTTCCCGCCTCAACAACAAGTTCTGGTCGACATATGTATTTTGACCTTTGCTTGTGAGGATGCAGTTTGGTCTTCCGCCGGGTCTTCTTTAGAGTGACTAGATTGGCCGATATCGGATCGCTAAGCTCTTCCACTTTCGCATCATCGTTCCATTGGAGGTAGAAAAAAGCGTTCTGGAACGAGTATGAGCCGGTGGATCTGGCTTTGAGTCTGTGGTTCAGATAGCTGTAAAACATCCAGGCGGTTTAGAAGGGAATTTTTCGAAAGCCGGATTTCATCTCACTCAATCAATTGGGGTAAAGTCTCGTTGTAGTTTGGGATTATGTATTCGTCTAAGTCAATGAGCAACGTGTGAGAAAATTTGTACATCGACCTATAAAGACAGTCATTCAAAGCTGCAAAAAGTCCTTCCGTTCGGATTTCCTTTTGGAACACCATATGCAACTTCCATGGCAGCAATGTGACCAGACCCTCCTTCCGGTAATGGTCGAGAATACAGGACACCTGAGGTCCGATAGTATGATTATAGAAGGTGAAGTGGTCCACGCCCATTAGGCGGTTGAGTTCAATAAATTCCATTATTTGAAGCTCCTGGAAAGACGCAAACCGTTAAAAGACTACATTGCTTAAATCACGTTATAAAATGACCTTATTGTAGTTGAAATGCAACGGTTTTACGCACACGGCAAATTTGCCGATGGTCGAAGATGTTTTACCAGCAGTCTCGTTGAAGTTGTTGATCACGGTCAGCATATTGCTTGGGGGATCTTTCAGTCCAGCAACGACGCTCACCGCTACAGGAACAGTCAAGTTTGCTCTTAAAGGACACATCACAAATGATGCACTGTACCGTAGATTCCAATTTTCCCGAATAATCTGGAATGAATGTATTGTATGTAACTCCTAAATCACCTGACTTTTTTGGAAAAAAATCACGATTTAAATCAAAGTTAATTTTTTCAAGAAACTTTATATTTCCACTCAAGAACTCAGAAAACGGCACATGTGAACTTAAAAATTAAACGGTATTAATGGTAAACTCAATAGTACTAAAACGGAAATCACTTCTCTTTTTCTTCATTTTCGTTATAAAGTCTGAAGAGGAACACTAATTTATCTTCTTTTTCGATTCCCAATCTGTTCCTGATATCCGAATGAACAAATCCGAATGTGCTGAACATCCTTTCGACAGACGCAGAAGATGCAGTTTGCCCAAAGAAACTGTTTTATATTATAGTGGGCAAGTGTTTCGCAATTTCCGGTTCATCTCTCTGTGATAGCCACCACTGAAGTCCGTTCATATTTTTCAGCACCTCATCAGAAAACAT